AACAAACCACTTTCACCTAAATTCCTAAATATATTTGTGAATGTTTGATGATTAGGTTTCTACCTTATTACGGGTAGCCTGTCCTGATAAAGGGTTTCAAATTACCGAACTCCCCTAATCAGGTTGACTAGTAACCTCAGGGGATGGGTTCCTGTAAATAGAAAGAAGGAAAAAAGAACTCGTTTGATTGATAGAATGTGAACGGGCCTTTATTATCTTATAACCTCGATCGTTGTCAAAATTAAAATTATAACCAACAAATTTACATTTATACTAAATGTCGACTATTAGGAAAGAAAGAAAATTATTATGTACAAGGCGTGTTTCCACAACTATTCTTACCTCTAAATTAAATACTCTTATAATATATTACCCCTTCAAGTGGGTGGTCAAAGTGCGGTTTACGTAGAGTACTCTTCGTATTACAAAAGTAAAGAAAAACCGTGTGGCGACATCATAGCACCACATAGTCTTACCTTTAGTTTTGACTTTTACGTCAATTTATTTTAAGGTTTCTTAGTCAGTTTTTATTTGAGGTTGGTCAAGTGTCAATGTCAGATGGTACCATTATAATATCACATATATTATGATCTTGGTCGATAGCTGCGTACACTAGCACCCTACTTATCCGATGGATGATAACCATGGAAAAAGGAAACAAAAATTTGATTGATTACTGATTTCGAAATTAACAAGACAAGACGTACCTTTGACACAACAATTTTTATATAACGCTTTTCATATTTTAAAATAAAATTATCTTTTAATTACTGAGATTCTGATTTCCTGCTACCTACAAACCGGTAGGTGGATATTACAATTAAATATTTATATATGCAAAAAAAATTGAGTCTATTTAATCAAGTATGTTTGTTGTAGGCTGAATCTCTCTGGACTGCTATGAAAATGACTTCGTATTCGGTGGGGTTATCTGTACTCTGTTGCAAACGGTGAAGTGGAGAAGCCCTATTCAATATGGAGAGGTGGAGAGAACTTGCACACAGTCCTTAGAGTATTCCTCTAATAAAAGTGTTTATACAGAATTGCAAATCTGAACGAGCGAAGAAATGAACGCATGAACGAAAGGAGCGAACCAAGGAGGTCTGAAAAACATTTACGATTATGTATACAGAAGGCTGTTGGGAATATAGGTAAGTGAACTAATAATTCATTCTGAAAAGCCCACCCTTGATGGTATGTGACCTTTTAGTTATTAATTTATTAAATTCGAACTTTTAGCCCGATACTATATCCACCACTAGGTGTATGCATCACAAAGATCACTAACAATATATCGGACTAAAGGAATCTATGGTTTTTGCACAAGAATAAATCCTAGAAAATCCTAGCTGAAATCTTGGCACATGCCACAATCAGAATCCAAGCAAAAACTGGGCCAGGAAGGAAGTTCCACAAAATGGCCAACAAAAGTCAATGTCTTAGCAAGAAGGCCCTGACTACAAAAGGGTAATAGGATAATTTCTGGTAAGACTGTGGTCAATATTTATAAATTTAGAAGAATCTGACAACTGAAGGAGTTAAGATAGACATGTAAACAATAACAATAAAAATAAAGCTTTTTAGTAATTAAACGAGCTAGAGTTATTGTTCAAAGTAGCGAAATATATTTACTTACATTTTAAATTATTTATTAAGGTAATAATTATAATTCAATATACTCCAGGTGAGATTATACATATTACAAAATATTATTTTATATTTTACTACAAAATATGTTTGATAAAAATGGATATTTCATGAATTTATTTAATGGACCAATTTTATTGATTTATATACATTTATATACCACACAAGTAGTTTAGTAATAAGAGTAGCTTAGGGTAAGTTAGAATCAAATAGAAGTAGAATAGTGTACATAGTTAAGCATAGAATAGATTAGAAGTAGAATAGTGTAAAGAGTTAAGTGTAGAATAGTAATAGATAGGTATGATAGATTAGACTAATTTAGGATAGGGTAGGGTAGACATTAGAATAAGTTAGAATAATTGAGATTAGTTAAGAATAGTTTAGGATAGATTAGAATAGAAAAACCTAGTTTAGAGTAGTGTAAGTTTAGAATAATTTACAATAGGGTAGGCTAGGAAATAGGATAGGTTAGAATAGTTTAGAGTAGTGTAAACTAGAGTAATTTAGACTAGTCTAGGTTTAGATAGAATAAAACCCGTAACAACCTGTTTGGATATCTTCTCAAATATTCTGGTTTCACAGCACGCCCATTAAAATTTTGCTGACAGTAAACAGCAACCATATCTCTCATATCTACACACATCGCTAAAATTCTTGGACCCCCTTATGTTTGTCAAAATGAGACATTATTATTAAAAGTCAAGAAGTGTGTTACATAGTACTTTTAATTTGGTTATGTATCCAATACAAATTGACTGAATAAAATTTTAACTGAAAAAGAAAAAAATACAAACGAAAAATAGTGCATAATAAAATGATTACTAGAATTTGAATTCCAGAAGAAAACCACTTTAGAGCGAAATCAAAAATTCATGAATATTTAGTGTGTCCTCCCCTGTTCTGTAGTAAGGTATTAACTCACCTGTGCATGGAAACAATAAGGGTGTTAATATAATCCATTGGTATGTTGTTCCATTCTTCTTGGGCCGCGACTGTGAGTTCCTGGAGGGTGATAGGAGGATTAATTCTGTTTTAAATTGCTCTTCCAACGAAATCCCACATGTGCTCAATGGGATTCATATCTGACGAATTGCTGGCCACGGTAATCTTTGAATATTCTGAATTTCTAGTGTATTTTGTACCCTTCTCGTGCGATTGAGCCTAGCATTGTCATCCATGAAAATAAAATTGGCTCCAATTTCATTTCGGAGAGGATAAATAATAGGTTCAATAATGTTTCAAACATATCTATCAGCTGTCATAGTGTCAAGAACGGGAATAAGCTGCGTACGACGACCATGCATTATGCCTCCCCAAAACATTACTGTTCCTCCTTGGCATGAAACGACTTCTCTGGCAAAATATAGTCTTTATGGTCGCCCTGGCCCTCTTCAACCTCTGTGTCGCCGACTATCACTAATTAAACCATATCTGGCCACTGAGCTAAAATCCAGTCTCTGTGTTCCTGTGTATACTATAGATGAGCAGCTATATGACTAGGAAGTAACCTGGGTACTCTAAATGGAATCCTAGATCGTAAATTGGGTCCAACAAGTCTCCGCCGTATTGTGATACTGGAAATGAATCGACCATACGTTCTTCTAAATTGAGTTTGGACAGCTGAGACTGTTGCGGTTCGATTCCGACATATATAACCTACTCTATACCGATCTTCTTTTGGATTAGTTACCCTAGGACGCCCAGCCCCACGTTTCCATTTAACGCTGTTAGTTTTCTGGTACTAACGCACTATTCGGATAACTGAAGCGCGGGGAATCCCTAGTCTATCTGTGATTCGATGACTCGGCAGACCCTCATCATGCAAAGCCACTATTCTTGCTCTATTGAACACTGGCACTGGCACAGTTGCAAAGAAATCAATCACGTTAACACGCAAAATCGATATGAACCACTTTTTAAACATTGGTACTTAAAATTGTGAGAATTTGTTTTTGTAAAGATTTTTAGATGCGTATCAACGGAGAAATAAATAAAGATTACATGTACAAAAAAGCAGCCACAACAAATATTTCGTTATAATATTTACGAGGGGGGGTCCAAGAATTTTGGCGATGTGTGTATATTAAAATAATTATTATGCCTCAACATTTTCTGCTTTTTTTAAATTAACCAAAAAAAATGCAAACTAATATTACAATACTGACATAATATTGAAACAAATCGAATGCTTTGCTGTCAAAATCATTTGTGGCGTCCGCCTACTAAGTTAATAATTCCCGAAATGAATAATTATTACTTTGGGAAAAAATTAATACATCAAATGTTGTTGTTTAATATGAGACGATCTTTTATGTAACGTGTAGATAAATGCATCGACGACAATGGAGGACTTATCGAACATTTAATGTGATACAAATAAGGTTATATTGTTATTTAGCTTAGTTTTTTTTAATTTGTTTTTTAAATGTTTTCAGTAAGAATCATGAAGTTGATCCCTAAAATGCGATTATATCGTAAACCGTTAAGTTTTAAGGTTAATAAGAAGTATACTTTTCTTCTATTAAAATAACGTGGCTTTAATATTCTTTTACAAAAATACCGCTAACTTAAACAGCAAAAAAATTTAGGGCACAATTATGTCTCAAATGTAGCCTATGTAGCGTCCTCTACCAATTGCATTAAAGTAGGTACCATATTATGATTTTTCGTGCTCAAAAACCTCTATTTCCAAATTATTATGTATACATATCCAAAAACGTTAAAGTTATTGCAAAAAAGAAATCATAAAATTTAACCTTTAACAATCTGTATATTCCTTATTAGCAACATTTTATTGAAGCAAGTTGGTTTAAATCGGAATATTTTAAAGTGATGAATCTACCATACTTCTATTTTCAATTACTTAAGGACCACCCTGTATGTTAAACATTCTTTTAACTGGAGTAGTTATAATTGACAACTAGTCTTTTAGGGTTAAAATCATCAATCTAAACAAAAGGTAAAAAATGTCTTGGATTTTTGGAATGTATTGGATTGTTGACAATGAATCGTCCGCCGCTCGAGATCAAATACTTGGATTATTCATTGATCCTACATCATAAAAAACTTGATGAAAAATAAGAACTACCGGATCTGACGCCGGGTTCCCTGTCCTTTTATGTGACAAGATTACTGGACTTTAAGAGCTAAGCGTGAAAATAGTATTATTAGGTACGATATTTTTTTAAAGGTTTTGAACGAAACAGAAATCACATAGTTTATGAATCAATATCCCAGACAAACAAATACATTTTTTTTCCATTTGAAACTTCATTAAGAACAGAAAGTTAAAATATTAAATATTTATTTGAAGGTTCAATGTTAAATAAAAAAATAGCAAACATAATACTTACAACATCTTTTCTTTTGCATACAATATTCATCTCATCATTGCAAGACAACTTACAATAGTCAGTTTGACCATGTACTATTGAAACAATAGTCACTAAAAGCAAGACAATTAATTTTATCATATTTTTTAATGGTTAAAACTTAATAATTTTTATTCGTTGATCCTGCGATATAATATAGTATATTCGATAAAAAAAATAAAGATGATTAAAGCCTATGACAGACTGATAAGCGACCAACATGCGATATAATCTAGTAGGGGAATTCGGGGTAAAATAAACCATTTAAGATTTGTTTAATGATAAAATATTGCCCTTTCGTTAGGTAATTAGAAGTTTGTTTATGGTTTTTTATTTTATAAAAAAAAATGCAATTTTATTTTTATATTAACGAAATAATTATAAAAAAGAATCATTACGATTTTAAACACATTTTTGTTTTAGGTTTAATTATAATCATAGAATAAATATTTCAAGTATATTATAAAACGATTTAAAAATTTCTCGTATTTCAAAGATATGATTAAGAGAATCGGGAGTCACGTGTGTATGTGTTTTGTAAAAATCTCTAATAAGGATTGCCATCGAAAAGAGAATTTTGTCTTAATGTGATGAGTTATTTGATATCAAGAATTGTGTCATATTATTTTTTTAATTTGATGAATATGAATTGTCACATGGTGTGATGGTGAATGCATTAACATTTTGATTTGATTAAGTTTTTAGGGTGCCTTATTGCCCAGAGCACGACAAGTACTTTCTATATAAGCTAATTTAACTGCTCTGACTAAATACCGTTATGGTGAAGGTCTAAAATAAGAAGAAAAAGGTATGAATAATATTATAGTTACGTTGTAATATTAGTTTAGATTGATAAAAATCCGTAATGTTTGTATGAAATAGTAGAAGAGTGTAAAGGTGCGCATAGATATAACGGGCCAGTTTTATATTTTTATTTAAACAACAAGTTCAATATTTATGACTTTATTAATTGCAAGCTAACATCAGACTAAAAGTAAAATAAAAAAATGTTAAACACTTGTTTAGAGATAACAAGTAACTTGAATTGATGGCTGGTGGAATACTCGGAACTTCTCGACAAGTCAGCGGTTTCTATTATGTAATTCCTCCCTTCCCAAAGAGATCCTTACAGGGTGTGGATCGATATTCGTCTTCTTGGTATCGATATTAAAAACTAGTTGGGGAGTAGATGTAGTTATTTTTTTATTTCCAGACTTTGATTGTCTAAACTTGAAAAATAGGAATAAGGGCAACAGTACCTAATGCACACAGGTATACCAAAGGGTGGTATTGTTTGAAGGGGTTAATTATTGATTTATTAGTAGTATTATTAATTATTGTTAATTTTGTGGGAAATTTATAGTAATATTTTTTTTGCATATTATATTGTATACATTTACGTAGAAAGCAAAAAATCTAGGTTTGTTTTCAATAGAACATCCTGAAAAAATAAAGTCCCACCTTCATCATATTTATGGTATTTTTAACCCCAAACTCCTAGGCTCCACAACAAGTAATGAGTAATGTAGACAGGCAGCGATAGAGAGTGACGTAAAATTTCAAATCCAAACATGTGGGTCAGCGGCGTTACATAGGTATACTACATGGTTATCTTAATTTCCACTAACAAGGATGCTCGCATAATTAGGATCTAACTTCCTTCAGGTAAGTCGTTTGATCCATTAATTATTTATACAATTATTGGTGGCACAAGTATACGTTTAACGTATTAAGATAGACAGGAACTTAAGTATTTTAGATTACCTAGAAGAAATGGTACTTTGTGGAAGGGTCACACATTCTTAATTTTTATGAAATACTGGATGGACGTCGTGAAATGAGTGTTGTCGAGTTAAAGAGCAACAATGAAATGTTAGACTTTTTTGATGGATGAAAAGGTAATCTTAAAAATTTATCACAAGAGATTTTGTGAGTTCAATTGCCGAAACAACTAGAAATGAAAAAGTTCAGGAAAAGTCCAAGAGCAAGTCTTTAAAATTTGCGGCCTTGACTTTTACTCTGATTTGTTTTACCTTTCGGGGTTCGAGTCCTGCATGAAGGCGTTAAACATTATTTTCCATTATATCTCTTGTTTGGGTTCACCCCTCAGGGTTTTAGAAATGAATTCCTGAACCTCCTTCATTTTTATATTATTAGATCCTAGATTTTACTGATAAGGAAAATATTTCTTATAGTCCAGAACTAATAACATCACAAAAGGAAAGTTTACACTTTTTCCCCCTTCATACATCCCTTTGATCTCCCCTGCGAGGCTCTGGTAGGCTACTTCAATCCGGCTTAGGCTCTAGCCTGGCTCATCACAATCAGACGAGCCCTTTTTTAGCGAAGAAGATTCCTTTATGGACGAACAGCAAGCGCTTGCTGAACAGGGTGAGAGTCGAAGAGATGTTTTTTAGTTACCCAGCGGTTTATCTTACACTTCTTGACGTCTATTTCTTTATTTGTGCTCTTTTTCTTTCTGTTCTTTGTTTTTTAATAATATTGTTATTATTGTAACGTCTACTCTCCATTTTGCTTTACTTGTTATAAACTTCTGTACTATAGTTTCCAGGGTTAAAGGAAGATCCAGGATATTTTGTAGTACAAGTCTCAGTGTACGCCATCTAGCACATTTAAACATGGTATGTTGTAGAGTGTCTACCCCGTGGCACTACAGACGTATGTTATATTTTGGTATTTTAAATTGGAAAGTATATCTAGAAGGATCGGAATCGGTGGCCTGAGAGGAACTGTGTCAAAAAGTAATTTGTTTTCCTTTTAATGTATTTTACCTAATATTTTACTCCTGGTAATAGGTTCTCAGTCAAAGCAGCTTTACCTATGGTACTTTTTTGCTTAGTCTACCATATTGCCATTGTTAGTATCCTTTTTTCCTCCTATGCCCTAATCTCAAGTGTTCGTATGTTACGAAGTTTTTTATTTTCTCTGTCCGAGTGTCAATCGGTATTACATCCAGTTATTACTTAGAGGGCTTTAACTAAAACGGTTTTACATGCAGATGCCACGTTTAGGAGTATTTTATTGGTGTTTACTACATCCCTTCAAATTGGTGCAGCATACAGGTTTATAGACTGAACCACTCTAATAAGTAGGATCATTTTTAAATCACGTGTCCCTCTAATATTCGGGATGATTTTAGTTAGAGCTGTTATTTACCTTTCTACTTTCTCAGTTGCCATTTTAATGTTTATCCAAAATCCAAGGTATTTTACTGCTTTATATGAAGTAAATCTTTTATTCCCCAGTTGTAATGCGATATTTTGCCCATTTTTTTGCCTTTGACTACAACTATCTCTGTTTTTTCTGAAGCTGTGTTAAGTTAGTTTGCCGTTGTATGCGTTTTGTTTTAGCCGCTACTATTATAAACAGGTCATCTACATATGCGGCTGTATCTGTATCTATAACCTGTGGAATGTAGGTTAACTCACGGAACTTAGGTTTTTCTAAGTCCATTGTGCATCCTCATAAGTAGACGGGCATCTGAGACAGCCTACAGATTTAATATAGTTGATAACATCGCCAAGTGATGCTTCTCCTATATCGGTATCATAGAATTTATTAATTCAATTCACTATATTTGAGACTCACTGTATTTGATCTAAATTGTCAAGTTATTATTTCAGTCAGTTAGTTGTCAGGTTGATTTATTCAATAGTTTATGCTAATTAATATTAATGCTGTAAAGCCTTAATAAAGGTAAATCATTTATTTCGTTTAATTATTACAATAATTTACAGCATTAATATACAATGGATCGCATTTTACGTCCTCAAAGATTTGACCTCAATCCAGATGACGCAAATGCTTCTCAAGAATAAAATCACTGGTTTAAAACCTTTCGTATCTTTATTTCTTCATTAGATATACAAGATACAGATATATTAAAGGTACTAACGAACTTTATATCTCCATCTGATTACGAATATGTAAATGAATGCGGAACTTACAGTGATGCAATTAGCGGTTTAAAGAACATTTACATAGAACCAGTAAATTAAGTTTTTGCTCGACATAAACTTAAGACCCGGCACCAGGAATCTGGAGAAACAATTGACATGTATCTCGAATATCTCAAACACCTAGCGAAAGACTGTAACTTTAAAGCTGTTACTGCAGAAATTAACAGAGATGAAAGTATTCGCGATACATTCATAGATGGTCTGCAATCATCATATATTCGACAGAGATTACTTGAAAATCAGACTTTAAGTTAAGATGACGCCTTCAAACAAGCAAGATCTCTTGAAATTGCACAACACCAATCTCAAGAATATTTAACTCCCTCAATCAATGCGGTGGCTAGTAAAAATTCACCTTCTACTTCAATTACATCAAACGACCAAGCTGACAAAATATCCACATCTGATTCTGTTGATTATAAAACAACGGTAGCTGCTATCAGTACTATAAGCTGCTACTTTTGTGAGTTAATAAAGCACTATAGAACCGAGTGTCCTGCTAGAGATGCAATTTGTAGATTATGTGGTACTAAAGGACACTGGCAAAAGGTCTGTAAGAAAAAGAATAGAACTGGAAGATCAAATCTGTCTAATTATTATTCTAATTGTATAGCTTCCATGCCGACTTGTTTAAAAAATGCAATTGTTTCTGTTTCTATAAATGGTTCTATGGCTTTTGAACTGATAGATACAGGAAGCTTAGCTAGTTTTATTAGTGAAAGTACAGTTCACAAACTCAATATTCCTATTATTCCGAGTAAAAGCGAGAAAGTATCTATGGCTTCTACTTCTCTTTATTCTTCAATTAAGGGACGATCCAAAATAAACCTTAATCTACAAGTTCATGACTTCAAAGACCTCATTGTTAGTATTCTTTCAAATCTCTGTTCAGATATTATTGTTGGACATGATATATTAAAACGACATTCTTGTGTATGAGTTCAATTCGGTGGAGAAGAAGCACCTCTTAGTATATGCAATATTGCAGTATCTAATCTGGAGCCAGCACAACTTTTCCCAAATCTATCACCTAACTGTCTTCCAATTTTTACTAAATCTCGTAGACATACCGTTTCTGATATAAAATTTATTGAATCTGAGATCCAACAATTACTAAAAGAAGGAATAATAGAAGAAAGTATTTCACCTTGGCGAGCGCAAGTATTGGTAGTATCATCAGAAAATCATCGTCGT